TGCATGATTATTTAGCATTGTATTTCTCTTTTTGCGAGACGTGAGGGAGACTCTTCCCTCAAGGTACTGTAGACAAAAGTATCGGCTATTTCTTGTGGTAGTAGGCAACTAGGTCTTTAGAAATCGAACTTGAGACTGGAGATAGACCTTGATCGATTCGTTTTGGTGATTAGTTGATTTTCTGTCCATCCATCGTGTAGACCAGGCCATCCTGAATCGGTCCATCACGTTTATGGTGTTTAGGTGCAATGTGATGACTTGTTTGTAGTACCGAATGCATGTCGTTATTCCTGCGAACAGTCAGTAGATAGCCGACCGTAATCTTTATAACAATGCTCATTTAACAACACGATGCCAGAGCCACATAATTGGGGTGGTTTTTTCCCGTTTGAATACCGATACAGTTCTGCATTGAATCGCTCTCAAGAACCCCAGTCTCTTCGAGGTACAGCCTAGTTCTCTTCCCAAGAAATAGCCTCGATAAGTGCGTTTTTCGAAGCCTCTGCCGGACAGTCCCACTCAATCCATTGTCGCGGCAAGATTGTTTTTACTGAATTGGAGGGGGGGGGCATGGCTATAGGTGGGTTGATGAACCATAGGGAGCATACTGATCTAGGAAAGCTAGGAAATCCTGATTTGAAATCGCTCAAGAAGGAAAACTCACTCCAGCATATCCTAGTCGCGATGATCCCGGCTCTATGCAGCAATTAGGTGAACAGAGCGAAATACGCCCGGAAGGTGTATGATCTGATGAACCCCAATGGATTGGGGTTTTCACACACTGCCCTACTGTCTTTGAGCGCATGCTTTGGCCAACCGAAAGCTCCGGTAATGAACACCCCGAGGATGTTCACCTGCTTTGGCCTAGAAAATCGGGTGGTTTTCTATTCGTGAGTGAATCATGGTCAGATTTATTTGTTATAAAAAATTACTGTACCATGATTTTTTTAGTACAAACTTGGGTGTGAAATGGCAGTGTCTTTATTATGTGATAAATTGATGCTCTCCCTCCTTGATGCGTATCTTCGTAGGAAAAGCTCGCTGCATTTGAGGCTGCAATACAGATCCGCTCAGTATGTTACTCGTCTGTTTTAAGTAGTGAGAAATAGAAGAAATAGATTTTCCTGGAATAAGTATTAGGCAGGATTATATGCCTGCTTTTTTCCTAATATTTTTTTTGAAAGTATTGGATTATTCCAATACCAAAGTGTTCGTTATTTAAATTCACTAGACGTTCACCGTTGGTTCGAAACCTTCCGGTATTCTGCAACGTACTTTGCTTCGCTTAACTGCAAAGAGAAAGTCAACCAGAGAAATTGTCAACACCGTCCGTTGACGGAGATAGGACGTTGCGTTAACTGTTTACCATTCTTCATTTCATCCCACACGAAGAAGCCGACTGCTGTTTAATCATCTTGGCGTTTTCTCTGACTCACTTTGTTCTGTGTGGATTTCAAGCATGATTCCGAACATCAAACGTGGATCGTTTCTCGTCCCTTCAGTGTAGTCGACAAGACACGTGTAGTTATGGTGGTATTTCCAGGTTTCTGATTTCTCCCATATACGGTTTTACTGTTTTCGAAAGTGGCAATAATCATAAATCACTCTGATCGGAACGCGATAAAATTAAGTCATTGGCTATACGGCTGTTTTTTTTGTAAAACAGTCAGATATGACGTTAAAACATTATTTGATATACGAAGTATGTATATTCATCATTAAATTATAGTCTGTTATTTCTTACACAACGGACTTCTTTGCAAGAATCTGTTGATTGCCATCCTTCTGCAAAATGGGTTAAAATTATATCTGTGACTCACCTGGCTTGCGAACAAGGAGTGCCGAGGTGAAGCTCAGAGAGTATCCGGGAGTCACGTCACCCAGTGACTGGTACATCCGGAACATCCATACAGATGTTCGTTCTCTAGACGGAGTTGTCTCTTCATCACAGACCACATCAAGCCAGTTCATGAAGTCAGACTGAACGAAAACCGGATATTGTTGTAACCAGACAAAGCGTCAGGCCTAATCGTAATGGCTAAATGTGATTAAACTTTTAACCTTCACTACAAGATTTCAAGAAGTTTTGGGTGTGATAAAACAGATTATATAAATTACGCAGAAGAACCTGTTTCACAAGGAAAACAGAAATTATCGGAAGGCGGATTCCTGAATTAGTAGACCATTGAATTCCTAAAACGGCGAGGATTGCAGGTGCCGCAGAGTTACACAAACCTCATATTGCATTGAGAACTATTTTGTCAGTCACGAGTTCACCCAAAATCAGCTGGAAAAATGGCGATTGAGAGCACTAAAACTCATTTAGGCCAACAATGCGTTCATAGTTGATGGAACCATTAGAATCGATCACCAGGAAGCAAAAGGATCTGGTTACCACGAGTTTAGTGTCACTATTCGCTAGTGTTCCTCTGAAAGAAACAGACATTTTCGTCACTTATCTTAACAGAAAAACGTTAAGCTCCTAATCAGAATTGGCAAGGTTAATTGTCTTACGCATAAAAGACGTTTGTGTCTATTTTCAAGACCGATATTTCCACCAAATCGCTTGCGTAGCCATGGCTATTCCATTAGGCCCCGTTCCAACAGATATTCATTGCAGACCTGGACCGAACCTCAGTGATAAACTCATCAACCTCATTCGCAAAACGATAATCTGTTCGTTGCCGCAAACTTTCAGTTTATTTTATAGCCTTAACAACCCCCACCCGAACATAAAGCAAACTATCAAACATGAAGCCAATGGCATCTTGTCGTTCCTGGACGTTAAAATGCAACGGAAGACTGACATTGTGTCAGTCGATCTGTTCATAGAAAACAGACGTGGACGGGTTAATATCTACACTTCACTAATCTGATCCCCATTCCTTACTAACGGGACCTGGTGAGGACGGTTTGTGACCGTGAGAAATGTACACCTGATAATATTGCGGACGAAATGACAAAGCTGAATGAAGCTTTCCATGGGAACGGTTACCCGAGCCCGTTCTTTAAAACGCACAACTGTGAAAATTCGAAACTATATAGTGACAGATCAACACCAAAGTGTGGTTCAATGGTGATGATATGAATGAGTAGGTTGTGAGAAAGCCGCCCGAGCTGATCCATCAAGGGAGCACACAACTGGTCTTCGTCTACACCTGCGACTGAATACTCCACTCGAGCAACCGCCTTCGGAATGAACTAAATCCCTTAAATTGTTCCGACTCGTTTGTGGGACTCGGACACCTTCCTGGACAAAACTGAGCACCATCTTAGATAAAGAATGACCGAACACAATTCTGTGTGGGTCACTAAACTGGTGAACGAATCACACTCAAGGGGTGGAGGTCAAAGTCGCACCAACACAGCAAAGCAGCGTCATTTGTCGATCGTCACGTGTTAGAGACTGGACACCAAGCAAACATGACCGCGACCTTTGAATGTCTTTTTTCATTCAAAATTCTCGATTGCTTCACTTTTTCAGAACTGAGCGCTATCAATCGATATGAATATGAACTATATAAGCCGAAATAAATAGTAATTGGTGCTCTGCATTAGTTGAATGATGAACAATTTTAACACAAACAATAGAAACGGTATTATCATTTTTTTGCATACCATGCATGGTTAAAAATTATGAAAACTGAACTGAACTGTATACCACGACTGTAGCCTGTCCTGAGAGGATACAGAGGAATTTTTCTGGGGAAATAAATTGTGCTTCTGCATTCTCCATTCAAGTTTATGTAGAATGCTAGAAGTAGATACGGTGTAGGAAAGCCATTCATCCTCGTGTGTGTGTGTGTATTAGTTGGAGCACTAATACAACCGGAGTCCAATGGCGATTGTGCGACAAGTCGAACTCACTCTATGTGGGAAATTCACAGAATGCCAGTCTTCTACGCGGGGATGTATCAACTAGATCAGCGGTCTTCCAGGAACCACGATGAGAATAGCACAATCAGTGCATGCACCGGTGAAATCACGCAATCTCAAATGTGGTCCTCGTCTTGAACCGACGGCATTGGTTGCAGCCTCCTATCTGTTCCTTCACCTAAGCGGATGACTCAAGCAACATACGACTAAAACTCCGAGGGGAGAAGTACCAACAACGTAACCCCTTCCCGTACCAAAATTTCCCCAAGTTCAATGACAAGCTTCGGGAACAAGTCACCGAGGCTGTCAACTTGACCAAATCCCGAAAGTTATAGAAAGCCATCAAAATGAACTTTGTTGACTTCATTGGTAACAACTGTTCATTACTGTGGACACTCTATCCCAGCAGTACCTACCTAACAGATCTGATTTCTTCATTGCAATTGGTATCCCTCGTAGCGAATTCACCAACTTTCTTGGACTAGGAGCAGAGGCTGCACGTGGCGTGCTGACACCTGGTCTTTGCATTCGCTCCTGCTCACCAGCCTATAGTAAAGGAAATATAGCATCAAAATGAAATTTCCGTAGGTCAGTCATGTGCTATTTTTTGCTGATTGCCTCGTCTCAGAAAAAGAAGGTGAAAAATCTAATTTTGACGAGAATATGATCCCACGCATGTTTTACGATAGAGCACACTAATCAAAGAAATGCTTCTTGTAATCCCATATCCGAATAAGGAACATGATTAATTGAATGACAAGCGAAAAAACAGCTTGCAGCATAAACGTGTTCGAATCACGAAACCACAAGCTGTTGGGCTTTAGTATCACGGCCATGGCTTTTTCTTATTAGTCAAAAAGAGTGTCCGTGTCTCAGCTCCCCAAGGGGGACGGGGGGAGGGGAAATGATAGTTCAGGGCATGAGCTCTGGAGAACAATGAGGCACTGCTCAAGATAAAGGATTGGCGAATCAACGACCTGATGAAACTGCGTTCTTGACTTGTTGGTTTTCTCAGGAAGCTTTGTCTAGCCAATACTGCAAAAAGCCATCTTTTCCTAAAGTCGAGTCCATTAGCTCCTATTCGTGTAGTTAATTTTATGATGTAACAAGCAGTCAGGTTTGGAATGTTTTCAACCCTAGAAGCTAATGCTGCGATGAGTGAGGTGGGATATCCGCAACAAGCTGACAAAGATGGTTGGCGCCACTTTGTGTATAAGGAAAATCCAGAACGGTCAAGTCAGCTGCCCAGCGATCGAGCGGGTAGTATGCTTCCGTTCTATCGGTTAGGTCCCGGGCGCCATTCCCAGTTGGGTGGATGGATTTCTACTGCTGATGAGACCCAGCTAGGTTGACACAGCGGTCCAGTGCTTCTAAGCTATTTAGTTCACGCTTAGCTTGCTCTTTACACGACGAAATTCATCATATAATTTTTATAAAAGTTCAATATCCTCTTTTGGCTTCAAAAAATTTATCGTACCACGAGCCTGATCGGCCCGGTCCCTAGAAATTTCGAACTTTCTCGCTAATTTGCAAGATTACCGTTGTTTGTGAACAGTTTATTTTCTTCTCAGAGTAGCCTTTGGGTCGATCCAACTACATGATCTCACTGCTGGTCTGGATTCATCTTCGGTTGAGTCCTGGGATCGTATTCTTCTAGGCGTTTCGTTTGAACAGGTTACACTGACGCCATATCTTGCGATATACGTCCGTGCGTTCAGCCAAATAAGTCGTGGTTACCGTTGAATTAAACAGCAGGCCCGTCGCCTGTAATGCTCGCGTGCATCGACGAACTGCTCTGACGTTCCGCTGTATTAACTGGAATGTCACAAATTGGCTGGGCCTTTAACTCTGGCTATGCTGTGCTTTGTTTTGCCATAACTGCGGATTTGGCTTTTTCCGTCACAGATTACATTTGGGATACTATGACCTCGGTAACTACTTACAACTATCCCAGCTTAAGCGTTATTCAGTTATCCGTAGAGAATATCAATGATTCGTCTTTACGTGCTATCTCTCTTTTTGTGAGAAATCAAAATGAAAGGATCATCAGAAATGCAATTATCCAACAGGTCAACCATTATGTTGGCTGGAAAGTTTCATTAGAACACAGAAACTTAAACACCATTGGTTCACCTATAAATTTTTTTCGTCGAATGTCTGCTCCATTCTCTCAAAGTTATCGGACATCAGCCGTCTGATTCACAATGGGGAGCACTGGTGTTAGTTTTCCAATAATCGATGATGAATCGGATGAAATTGAAGGCTTCCAGTAATTTCTGCTAATAGACAACCAGGAAAGAAAACGAAAGGTGGCTGTGTCATCACATAGGTGCGTCAATGGCGGTGAAGCGCCACCGAATACATATCCATCTATTGTGTGCAGAACATTTCTTGTATTACTATTGAATGTAAATTACGTTTTCTCCTGCGCCAATGCTCTATCATCATTTCAAATCTCTAGGTGACTTCTGATCATAATCCTGGTGACTTATCTACCATCCTAAATAGACTATCCAACTATGCTGGAAAAGACTGACACATTTGTTTTCTTGGTGGTGATTTCAGCAAATCGGATGTGAGGTTTACATACTTGCTTCTCCTCAGAACATCGTTAGCTTCTCCACTGGGAATGATGTCCCTCTAGACCACGTTTTCTTTGATGTGTCATTGTTGTTTCGTTCCTTCAGACGTTCACCACCAGGCTGTTCTGATCACTGTCTAATTAAAGTTTCATCTACAATATACAGTAAATGCAATTCACAAATTCTCACTCAGAACAAGGCACATAAGATACGTTTAAGACAACATCATCAGCCCAATTGGATGGAATTGCAATTGATGGCTGTCGGTTTGAACTTACAACCAATTTCCGATCCCGAGATTTCAGTTAACTCAATTTTCGTTATGATATGTGCTGTCCTCAAGTTAGGATTCACCTACAATGTAACCGCTTGATCTTTGAAAGACTGATATGATTTTGTAGGTTGTAAGAGAAGGCATGGCGTGATGTTTGCATTACTCCAGTGCCAAAGAAAGAAAAGGGAAAGTTTCGGTCAGACGCTTTCTCCTCGGTAATATTTAAGACTTTTGAGCAAGTTGTTATCAGGGCTTTTTGTTCGACTTTTGATCGTTGTGGTTCGAACCAATTCATCTTTTGTAAGCACCGCTCTACTGCAGATGTTACTGCCTTTCTCACGTATTCTGTTTTGTCTATGAGTGACCAAAAGCACAAGAGCGTTCATGTTTGCTTGTTGGACTACACAAACTCTTTGAACTCAGTTGATAGGAACACCTTATTAACATTATGACAAAAACAACGAGATACGTCACCACATTTGTTTGAATGGCTATTTTACTGACTGATACCAGCTCGTCTATTGCTATTAGGTTTTCCACTGTGTGTGTAAACCGAGGTGTACTGCAGTGCGAAAATTTTATCCCTTTCTCTTTTCTCTCTTCATATTCAAAATTTACTAATCACCCTATGTATCTTCGCATTTAAGTATGCCGATGGCATTGGTTGGTTTTGCATCCAATATCAACCCTTCCATCAGCCATAAGTTCCGTTTATGAATATCCTGATAATGTTACCGTTTTCTTAAACCCACCCAGATGCATTGAAGAATTTCACTTTTCCAAAATCTTGATTAAAAGCTCAAATGTGGAAAGAATAACTTGGATATTTTCTGTCCGTGGACCTCAATGGTCCCACTAGATGTGACTGACATTTTAAAGTTAGAAAGCGAACATTTTACGTTCCACATTTTCCACCTCTGAGGGTGTCAATGCATATAACTTTTAAAGTTATTTTCTCATGCGTTGTTTAATGATTTCATATTGATTAGACGCTCTCTGAAAAGCATCTTTAAGTATGCAACGGGCCCTTAGATGGTCGACTGCATTGCCAAACAGCATCCTAAAGCACGTGACCACCCGTTTGATTCATTCCTGTTTGATGTCTCACAGCATCTATACCGGACCCTTCCTGGCTCCATCTCTATTTCTGTTACCTGCAATAAATATAAACCTTTGTTCACTAAAACTAAAGCTTTTCACGTTCAATTGTTTATTATTTTCCAGGGGATGGCAATCAAACGAATTGAGACAAAGTCTGGTGTATTTCATATAGCAAGTTCAACTTCCATTACGCGTACCGTTCTTCAGCATCATTAACTTATTGAAAAATATCATATAAACAAGTCCGTTTTATGTGCGTGTACGCCCAAGCAAAAGGAATAGACTTTTTAACTGAAAATGCTGTTCCCAAGGGACGAGTACATTTCGTTCTTGACTTGATTTGAATGAGAATGCACACCTGACTTGTTACCGTTCACCGCAACTCTACTTCACATCATCTCGAAGAGAGCAAACTGCTCTCTTTCTCTTTGATCATAACAAATCGCGCTTTGATCATAACAAAAAAACAAGTGAAGTATTGTTTTTAATATCTCTGATCTTCTAGTCGACTCCGTTCAGGATCGGTTTATGCGTGATAAGAAACTGTGGAGGGTCGTATTTATTCATCCAGACTTGGTTGAACTTTTGGAGTAGTTGGCCTGTATCGCCAGTGTTATCATGTCAACCGATCTCTTACTACCCCTCCCCCCCCCCCCCCCCAGGGTGCATTTCTTCCATTAGTGTTCCTGAGTTTACAACAAAACACACCTTTTTTCCTCTTTCTTTATGCAGTTTTATGGGCACATTGTGGTCGCTTTGGCCTGTCGTTGATTTTCCCTCCTTTCCTTCAAAGTTAGGCATTTTCAGTTGATTAAATTGAAGTTTATATACGCAGGCGTTGCCATTTCTTCTCCCGCTTACTCCACTATCCTCCTACCACTATTTGTACAGTGATGTATAACTTCCGGTGGATAACAAATGATTCCCACTGAAACAAGATCACGTAAACGCGATATAAAAGATCTGAAGCTGAATAAATTAATTTCGCTTATGAAGCACGATGAAGGTTCGGCAATTTTCATTCTCAATAAGGAAGATTATGTCAAAAAGAAGGAAGAAATACTTTTGGATCATACTCTTTTTCAACCAGATCCAAAAGCAAAAGACAAAACTGAGGGTTCAGAAAAAAGGCAGTCCATTCTGGGTTGCTTCTGGAAGAAGTCGTGATTCACACAAACTCGTTCGGTAAACTGGGTTCATAAGAATGTGCGGAATGCCGAAATTGCACAAACCGGGAATCCCATTACGACCAATCTTATCGATGGTTAACTCTCTCTAACGCAAACTCGCGCAATGACTGACGAAGCTCATTAATCAAAATAAGTTTCAAACTGTCTAAGTTCGGACCTTAGAAATGATTTCGCTTGAAAGAAGTAATTTCATGCGTAGATTACAGCAGTTGTTTTCTTGCTTCCGCTGATATTACGTCGTTGTTCAAAAATGCTCCTGTCAAGGAAGCCGTGGACGGAGTATGTGAGTATACCAGTAAAATAGGTCCCCACCCGAGTAATTTCAAAACTTTGCTGAATTTGTGTTCGCGTGAAGTAAAATTTGTTTTCAATGGAAATATATATAAACAGGTTGATGAAGTATCTATTGGCAGCCCTTTGGGGCTAATTCTGGCTGATACCTTTCTGTTAACATTAGAAAACAAAAGTGGAAGAGGAATTGAATTCAACCCTACTATATCAATGGTATGTTGATGATACAGTAGTTGTTGAGTTCTACGAAACAGATATTAAGACATTATTTCACAAATTGAACTCGTTGCATCCAAATATCAAAACAACATTAGAATGTGAATGAATTGGAATCCAAACTTCCATTTCTTGACTTACTACTTAATCGATTGTCAGACGGGGAACTTCAAATATCTATGCATCTTAAATCTACGTGAACAAGATAGTATCTACTCTTCCGGAATTTCCGCCCTTTGGGATGAAAACGTAGTCTGGTGCGTACTTTATTTAAAGGTTTCGCCGACTATGTAGACCGCAAGTCCTGTCTGATGAACTAAACCGATTGTCCATTGCGGAGCTGCAAGTTACCCATAATTCTGAAATTAGTGAAGCTACTAGAAAATACACTAAATCGCTCTTCGTCTTTTAGCATAAACAATACCGGACGAAATTATGGGGGGTGATTGAAGTTTACAAATCCTGTTACGGTAATGAAAACACAGCTACCCTTTTCATTCAGCAATCACTGAAGTCATAGCTCATCATTTTGAGTGAATCTCTATATATCCTAATAAGTTGACCAAATTTACAACGAACGTGATTTGATAAAACATCTTTTGTGACAGTAGAGTCTTGTTTGTTCCTCTTGCTTACAAACCACTCCACACTTTTGTGGCACACTGATAATCAAGGTTTTACAAACTGTGGGCCTAATA